CAAAAGCTAAGGATGGAAACAGGAAAGGAAAGAATAGCAGATTTGACCAGGCATTTTAACTGGAAGAGGATAGGAAAGAATACAGAATTGCAAAACTAAATGTATCTAATCAACAGCTACTCACAAGGATAATTTTTGTCTCGTCCAACTCCCTCTGGATTTTCAACAATTTGTCTGCCTCTGCAGGATCCTGAAAATTTAAAAATTAAAAATTAAGGTAAAATGAAAAACAAAGAGGCTTTTAAATTCATGAGATTTGTGAATAGAAAACTACAAAATACTTTTCATTAAATTAAAAAAAAAATAAGCATCACGTCCAGGAATGAGACTAAGAAAAAAAAAAGTCTAAGTTACTTGGAACTTGGTCAAAGCTTCATTCAAATATGGCCAAGGTTGACTACTATCTGCTTGTGCAGTCCTCCAAGATTCACCGAAATTTTTTTGATACTCTTCAATCACCTGAAAGATTACAATATAACATCTTAAAATGAAACCCATGAGATAGCAAGTACAATTAAGTTGACTCCACCAAATATACTACTTAAAAAACAACCTAAATTTTAAATTTTGGACAGAATCAAAGTTATCCTTCACATAAATTATATGATTTCAGCTTTCAACCAAAAAAAGTCCCATCTAGTTATAGTATCACATCAGGAGGTCACTCAAGCAAACATAGCATTGCATCATAGGAACACAAAGAAACTTCAAGCAAACCTAACTATGAAATCTATTTCCTTTACATGATTTCATATTGCAAAACTCTAAAATGTTGATGAGACACAAAAATACAAAACTTTATTCCAAAACGAGAGAGAATATCCGACACCCTTAACAAAAGCTATCAAACATCATACAAAATCCTAATTACAGCTGCATTCCAAAGCTCTTACTGATCTCTTTTCACAATAGTTATACATCAATTTATTTATGTATTATTATTGCCCATTCATCACAAACTAACAGCATAAACACCAAATAAAACCCAAACTACACCGTAACAAGCGCGGAAACAAGTATTACCTTATCGAGAAGGGAAAATGAGCTGCGAACCGGATAATGATCGTCCATAAACCCCAACGCACAAAGTCCATTTCGGTTATAAGCATGCACTTTGTACTCTGAATGATTCAATTCCAATCCAAAAACACGAAATTCAGTTATCCTAATCCAGCATCCCAAAAATCACCACATAAACTAGCGAAATTACAAGGAATTAAACATCAAATTAAGTATAAAAAATTCCCTGACTTGACCAATTCATCAAATCTAAAATTACAAGAATCCAATTCGACGGAACGGTAAAACGAGATCTCTAACAAAAACTCAGAATTAATTGCAACGGACCTTCGTGCTGGACGGATTGGCGTTGGCCGGGTGGGGTGCGTTTAGCGACGGTTCGACCAACGAAAACGATGAATTCTCTAACACTAGACCGCTGGAAATACCCGAAATGACTCACATCGCAAGCGTTAGCTAAAATAACCGGATCCGATCCTTCCGGGTTGACCTTCAATACCAATAACGCCGTGATCTTCATTTCTATTTAGGAATCTTTTTCAAAACTAATTCTCTCTCCTTAAAACTCTGCTCGGTTTCGTGTTATGAAACTGTTCTGTTCTTTCTTTTTTTTTCTCAATTTTAGATTTCTCTCTAATGGAATCGTCAAAGAGGAGTGGGATTTTGGTTAGGTGCGGGTGAGATTATGTTCAGGTATTGGAGTTCCCCACTGGGGATAAAGTGTTTGCTTTGCCGACGCAGAGGAATGGATCTGGACCGTTTGTGCAGTTCAGATAAAAGGAAGGTTGTGTTGTTGGCCGGTGATGTGTCAATGTGGCGGGGTCCACGGAACTTATTCTCACCGTTCCTCCGCCAAAGAAAGTGGAGGAATTTATTTTTTTTGGGCCTTACTCTGCTTTTATAATTTATACGGGATGATAATGATTTATTTTTATTTTATTTTAATTAGTATATTATTTTTTAATGTTTTCTTTATATAGCATTTATTTTTCCCTTACAACATACTTTTCAAATAATTTTTTAATTGAAAAGATTAAATTATTTTTTAAAATATTTTCAGATGATTTTAATAAGGTGATATTAAAAGAATTTTAAAATATTTAAAAAAAAAACACTACAACATAATATTAAATGCTTATTAAATAATAACTTTTCTTTTGTTTATAAAGAGAGAAAAGGGCATAAAACATTATCAATAAAAATATAAAATTAGTACTTTTTTTCCATCTTAATTTTACTTCTACCGAAGCAATGGAGATATTACATTTTAATAGTTAATGTTTATCTTGATTTTTTTTATTTTTAAGATAAATATTATTTTTTAACTCGTTGTCTTGATAAAAAGCTATGCCGAAAGAAATTAGATGTGCAATTACAGCTTCTCCTATTATCTAATCCAGTGCAGCTTTAGGATAAAACTAATTTTTTGGTCTGCTGCGTATTGGATAAAAAAATTATTAAATCTAATAATTTTTAGTGTATTAAAAAATTATTTAGTGGTTTTATTAAACTCCACTTTACGGTTAATTTTAAATTGTCATCCTAGTTTAAAATTAATCTAATAAAAATTTTCAGGACTTAATTAATTTAATAAATTTAAAAATAATTTGGATTACCCATAAAAAAATATGACTTGTTTTTAAAAGAAATTAAAAATAAAATACATTTTTTACTATTAAAATGGTTATATATCATATTAACTTAAGCTTCACGGTTTTACCCAACAAACTTATTATTTAGATCATGGATTCTATTAAATTTAAAAACTTTATTTTTAATATTATTTTTCACTTAATGATACAATAAAAAAATGTACAATGACATAATTGAGCATCAAATAATTGGTATAATGATTATTTAAGATTGCGATAACATTATAAAAAATAAATCAAAAAAATATAAATACAAATTTAAAAATAATTAAATATTAAAAAATGAAATTATTTAAAAAAAACCAAAGAGGATTCAATTAATAAAAAAAAATGAAGTGTGGAATTTACCAAAGAGGATTCAATTAATAAAAAAAATGGAGTTTGGAATTTTTTTAAAAAAAATTATTTGGTATTGTTATTAAACCGAATCTAATAGTTTAACCTTAAAACCTCTATACCTAACTTCTTGTTCAATCTAAGTTTAAAATTGACTTTACATATCTCAGTTTTCTTGGCGAGTTATAAGACAGTTTAGATGATTGTTAGAATCAAGGTTTGATTTAAAAAGTTAAAAAAGTATTTTTTTATTAATATTAAGATGATAACATATTATATTGACTCGAATTTTATAGTTTAACTCACAAAATCCACAACCTGAATTATAGACTCCATTATATTTAAAAAAATTCAACTATTTTTTCATTTAATAACATGAGAACAAAAATAAATGTTTGTAAAAACTATGTATCAATCAAATATTAGAATATTTATTTGAAATTACAATAACTTTATAAATATAAATTTGAAATAAATTATGATAACCAATTTAAAATCAATAAATATTGAAGAATGAGATTGAAAGAAATAATTTTAGAAGGTGGGGTTTCAAAAAAAAAATTAAAAAATTAAAAAAATATCAAGATAATGACATATTTGATCGATTTTAGCTTTGTGGTTTAATTCACAAAACCCACAACTTAGGTCATATACTCTATAGTGTTTAACTTTCTTTTTTATATAAATTTTTATTTAATGACATAATAACAAAAATAAATAACCACAAAAACTAAGTATAAATAAATACAAAAATGCTTGTTTTAAATTATAATAACCTCATAAAAAAATTAAAATAAATTTTGAAGACTTAATAAAAGATAATATAATGTTAAAGGATAAAATTGAAAGAAAAAATTTAAAAATTTTAAAAATATACATACAAAAATAATCTGCTTGTAGTCTTAAATTATTATCTAATCAGTTCAAAAATAAAAAATTAACTTGAATTTAAAAAACTTCTCTAACCCTGATTTACTTTTTTAAAGAGTATGAAATGCAAAAAAAATACCTTAGTAGAACTCCTTTAATTAAATATAAATCGTTGACACTACACTCAATTTTTAGTGGTTAAAACATGACCAATAAATATCCTTTTCTTTCCTCGTAATATTAGGATGATTTTCTCTTTTCCATCTCAAACCAAGAACTACAAACTAGAACAATGAAGTTTTGGGCCAAACTGTTTAATAGAAAATCTAAGGGACCAAATAGTAACTTTGTTATATTCGGAAAAAGTGTGAGGACTATTTTGATTTGTTTTATAAAAGTTTTTTCATTTTGATAATTTTTCAATTTTAATTCTCTAATTTTCAATTTTTTCTAAACCATAAAATCATATTATTTGATGCAAAATGAAGCACCGATTCATTGCTGAAATATTTTTTAGATTATGATACTTTTATAAAAAAAAAATACAAATAAATTATAAAATTTAATTTGTAATATTTATAATATATTTAGATTATGATACTTTTATAAAAAAAATAAATACAAATAAATTATAATTTATAATATTTATAATATAAAAAAAACTAAATTAGAAAAAATAGCAAAAAAAAATTACCATGTGAATCCACGTGAACTTAACTTGTGAGTGGGTGAACAAAGAAATCAAGATGGGATTTAATTTTTTTTCTTAATTTTAATTTGAATGGAAGACTAAACAAGCCCTTAAAAAAAAAAAAAAACTTAAAGATGGACACATCAAAATTTAAAACTAGCAGGCAGGGGTTTCAAAAAACAGTTAAAGTCGTTCTTTTAGCTGGGAAATCATTCCGCGACAGATGGACCAAAAAAACATTCAACAACAAAAAGGCTTCTAAATATCAGGAATCAAAAATAGAAAATAATTCTCAAGTTCATAAATAAAACCATAAAATCAAAGCAGCAAACTGCTTACTGGTTCTCGACCAGCCATTAATGCGATAAAAACGAGGGGGAGTTAATTTAGCATCACAAAAAAAGAAAAAAAAATTGATTCTTGGGCATTGCTTTAATTGTCAGACCAATTTCTCTCTCCTTTTTTTCTTGAATTTTTATTCCATTTCCTTGAAGAGTTTCATTCATTCCCAATTGAAACTTGCAAGGGAACTAATTAATGTTTCCCATGTTCTAAGCCTAATCCTTAAAAATTCATGTAAGTTCATCAATGGGTTTTTTTCTTTTCCAATTTGATTCGTTATGGTTCGTTGAATTTGGATGACAACCGTTGTTTAACAGATTAACAGGATTAGAAGAAAATGATCAAGAATGTGCTTTTAGTTTTTTTGGTAATCCATGCGACGTTGGCGAATTCAGAATCTGCTTCAAAGAAATGGCTGACTCTAAATGGTAGCAGCATTTTACTTTTGCTTATATTGTAGAATCCATCTGGAAACCTCGTCTGATGGAAGACAACATGATTGTGCATCGTGCATGCAGGTCGGAGACCTTGTGTGATAGCCCGAGGAGGGTTTTCGGGGCTCTTCCCTGAATCCAGTGACTTTGCAAATCAGATGGCGCTTGCGACAAGCTTGAGTGATGTGGTTGTGCTCTGCCATTTACAACTAACGAAAGACGGTGTTGGGATTTGCCAGGGAGATGTCAGGCTTGACAACACAAAAAATATAGCAATGGTATTTGAAAAGGGATCAAGAACCTACAAGGTAAATGGGCAGGATCTAACCGGGTGGTTCGCCATAGATTTTACAGCTGATCAACTCCTTGCCAATGTGTCCTGTAAGTCTCAGAAACTGCATTTTGGTTTTATAGAGAGATCTTCTTGTGTTACCATAATCTAAAGGAAATCAGATGGTCTTGAACGAAAATAGCAGTTTCATGGTTGCAAGATCTTATTATTCATGGCATAGATAGGAAGGGTAATAAGCTTCAGAAAATTATCTTGTGCCTTGAAATGACTAAAATTCCTCTTCGGCGTTGTCATGTTGCTCGTATGCAGTGGTGCAAAATATTTTTTCCCGGCCAAGTGCATTCGACGCTATGCTGCCCATATCAACTGTTGATGATGTCAGAAGTTCCAATCCCCCTGCATTCTGGTTGAATGTTCAGGTGTCCCTCTCCTCTCTTTCTCTTTCTGATAACAACTTTGTTTGAATATTCCTTTCAAGGTTTAAGGTGTCGACAGGCTCCATGCCCAGAAATCTATATGAATTTACTTACTAATTAACATATAAGTGTGTGCAGTACTAATGCCTTTGCTTTCTATATTTTCGTGGTTTGCAGTATGATGCATTCTATACAGAAAACAAACAAAGCGTGACAAATTACATTCAAAAGGCAACGAGACTTCAGGGTGTGAATTACATTTCTTCTCCTGAGATTGGTTTTTTAAAGAAAATCAAGGGATTGGTGAACAAGGCTAAGACCAAACTCGTCTTTGTGTTCCTAGACAAAAAAGCAACTGAACCCACAACCAAGCAAACTTATGGTTCAATTTTGGGAAATCTTGCCACAATCAAGACATTCGCATCTGGGATTGTTGTCCCAAAAGATTACATATGGCCTGTTAATGCAGCTAACTATTTAGAAGCTCCCACTAGCCTTGTAAACGATGCTCATAAACTTGGTCTTGAAGTATATGCTTCTGGGTTTGCAAATGACTTCACTACAAGTTATAATTATAGTTATGATCCATCAGCTGAGTACCTGCAATTCATTGATAATTCCCAGTTCTCTGTTGATGGGTTGATAACAGATTTTCCTCCCACAGCATCAGAGGCTGTTGGTAAGTCAATACATTCTCATGCCTTTCTCTGTGTTCATTTTCGGCCAACATGTGATAGAAACAACATTGAAAGAATGGATTTTGTCATCAAAGTGTGTTTTCTTTTCAGAAAGCATCTTAATTGTACTATGAAAATGAATGTGTAAAATATAACCCAACAATTTTATCTTTCTTATGCAGCATGTTTTGCTCAGTACACCGATATCAAACCTACGAAAGGTATATATGTTTTTCTTATATTCGACGTACATTCCACAAGAGCAACCGATTAACAATGCATTTCTATATGCAGAACAAGCTTTGATCATAAGTCACAATGGAGCAAGTGGAGATGATCGGAATTTTCCCCCAAACTTCCTCGTATTTATCAAACAGAAGCGTAGGCGCTAATTCAGAAGACAAATTTTGATCTAGAAGGTAGAACACACACACACACACCCATTGATAATTAGAAAAAAAGTTATCCAGATCTAGCAGGGAAAATAAATAAAACTAAAGATAAATCCCATATTGACCCAGAAAACAAAACAAAAATGAATCAGGGAGGTGAGCGACGAGGCTCAGATCAGAAGTGTTTCTCAACCAGACAAGAAAAGAAAACCCCTTCTTGGCTGCAGCAAAGAATGAGCTGCAAAATAACAGGAATATCCCTCAGATTTCACAGCAACCATTCAGAGTCAAGGATGGAGTGGCTTTCTGCTTGGATTCTGTGGATGTTACTAGAGATACAACTGCCGCGGCTTCCTTCATGTCTCTATCCACCACTATCCCTGAAATTCAGGACTCAGCTGGAATTTTTTCCTTTGATCTTTCATGGAGCGATATTCAAACACTGCAAGGTAAACTTTGTTGCTACTTTCCTGCTTACAATTTTGTTCAAGCAATCTTTTGAAATCCCTGACTGTAAAATTTTCTTATTCCAGCTCAATTGACAAGCCCTTTCGAGAGTAAGGGTGGCTTGCCAAGAAACCCTGCAAACAAGAGCAAGGGCAAGTTTCTTACTCTTGCTGAATTTCTGGAATTGGCTAAAGTAAAGGCGGTTACTGGGATTTTAATCAACATTGAGGTGAGCATTTCTCTTTCACAAATTTTAACTGTGTTCTAGAATGTGTCAGCTTCATAGTCAAAATCATTCACTTCATTGAAAATTCTCCACGCTATCATAGTTTGTATTTGCTATAAACGTCTACCCACGATACAAATTTCTAAGGCACGTCCTTGGTCTTCAGAATGCCGCTTACCTGGCATCACAGAAGGGTCTTGATATAGTATCTGCGGTTAACACTGCCTTTGGCAATGCCACATTTGGCAAGCAATCCACACAAAAAGTCCTAATCCAGTCAGACGACACATCAGTGTTGTCCAAGTTTATGAACGTCCCAGCATACAGTAGAGTACTATATCTTAAAGATGAAATCAGTGATGCGCCCAGGACACCAGTGGAGGAGATCAAAAAATATGCTGATGCAGTAACTCTGCCAAGATTCTCCATCGTGCCCACCGTTAATGGCTTCACTACAGGAACCACCAAAGTCGTAAACGAAATGCAAGCAGCGAATATCTCAGTATATGTCTCAGTCTTAAGGAATGAATTTATTACCCTTCCATTTGATTACTTTTCGGATCCTACAATAGAGATTGCAACTTACACTTCTGGAATTGGCGTTGATGGAATCATAACCGAGTATCCAGCAACTGCAAGCAGATATTTGAGTAAGTACCAGCCTCACCAAAACCATAAGTTCTTATACAAAAGCTCATGCTTAACAACAGACGCCTAGACTTTACTTCTCTAGTTTGTACACTAACATACTAACATTGATCCCCTTCAGGAAATCCATGTTCTTCCAATTCCATGCCCGATAGCTCATACAGCATCATTCCAGCTGAAGCTGGAAGTCTACTGAAGACAGTTCCTGAAGAAACACAGGCACCAGCAAGTTCCCCAACACCAGCCTTGGATGTTGCAGATGTTGTGGACCCACCACTCCCTGCCGTAACCAAACCTGCATCCCCCCCTCCTGCATCCCCCCTTCCTGCAACTTCACCTCATTCAAAAGCCTTACAAAACATTGCTAATGTGGGCCTTTCTCTAGTAGCCATCATGGCGTTTACCTTGCTATCTTTGATGTGTAATTAGTTAACATGGCAAGTATATGTGGCTGATTTATTTTTTTAACCTGTCTACTAGCAACTTAAGCACGTCTCTGGACGAGTTTTTATTTATAACTCGTTAAACACGAGCTGAATGGCCCATTAGTGTCAGATTTTTGCCTATATAGAAACACTAACTGGGCAAAGTAAATTATCATCTTTCATGTCTAAGTTTCAAACCTCATAGAATGAGATCGTAGCTCACTATCACTTCAATTTTTTCAAAAGAAGACACTTTCTTTACCCAAATTTTTAGCTTGACATGCAATTCAACAGCCCATTTGAATAATCCAGGGCATTAAAGACACGAAACTTGGTACAGGGTCTCATCACAGAAAGAGTTCTGGCTGTTTCTAAGAAAAACAATGAAGATGCTAAAAATTGATTTGAAATGAGCCCATTTGAAATTTTTCTGGAAAAAAAAAACATGTTTGAAAAGTTTAGACCAATCTGTAGAGAGTGATTATGAAGAAGAGGGAGGGAGGCTCAGATTCGCCTTTGGTCAGACACGAAAAGGAACACTGACAATCAATGGCTGCAACACTGATCTCCTCAAAGTTACCCTGCCAAAGATCACATCTTCCTTTCTATCTGATTTTCTATTTAGAAAAAAATCATCACAGCCGATTGAGAGAAAGAGAGAGAGAGAGAGAGATTGAATTGTTTTTTATTTATTTATTTCTATTTGAGAGAGAGAGAGAGAGAGAGGGAAAGGCTCAAATCCATACTAATCACCAGACAATAAAAAAGAAACACAAAAACACCATGGTTGCAAGAGAAGAATCTCAGGACAAAAGAGTCATTTTCTGAGCGAAATCCTAACTTGCCTTGCCAAATGATTGAAGGGTTTCTTTAAAATGACTGATGTTTTCGCTGGAAAATATCATCACAGCCTCTACCAGGAGAAGAGAAGGAGCATAAGCAAAGGCATGCTCATCAGCGAGAGAACCGCCAGAGCATACATACACACATACATATATATATTTACACATACACACAACCTCAGGGCGGTTGATTGATTATCAGATGGTGAAATCATAGGCTGCGCAGACATTCACAGAGAGAGGGACGGAGAGGCAACCACCCTGAGAAAATCCATTCCCATGTCCCTCTCCAAGGGCAAAACCTCATTCTTCACTGATTTCTGGCTGTAGGGTAGGTATCTCAACGTTTTAAGGGGACTGGTTCAATTTTCTGTTAATTCCTTTGCTGCCCTTCTTCTTGTGGTCTTAAGGAGTGATGAGGTGGCGGGCGTTTTGGTAATTGGATTTCGGGCCCATAGAGAGTTGGGCTAATCCATATACACGGCCTTGATCTGTAGGCTTTTGAGGATGACAATCCCTAAATTATTCTTTCAAAAAGATTTTGATCGACAAACATTCACATGCATCCCATTCATTTTTCTATTTTTTTTTTATAAAATATCATTAAGAAAAAATTTAGTCAGAAAATTGAACCCGTTAATATTATGATAAAAGCATTGTTTACAGTATAATAAAATTATCATTAAGAAATAATTCTTCCTCGTTAAAATAAAAGCATTGTTTACAGTATAATAAAATCATTATTATTGTTATTATTAAGAAATAATTCTTCCTCGTTAAGAAAAAATAGAAAATTTCTAATTCCTAGTTTTTTTTATATTTTTATGACTTGTTGAAAACAGAATGAGAAAATCTTAAGGATTCAATCATGGTATTAAATTTATATTTTTTTTATTATTATTAAAATAAATATCCAGGCTAACTTATTAATTTCTAAAATCCCTTAATTTATTAAATCTTCTTAAAAATATTAGGTTCTTTTCAAAAATCCCTTAATTTATTAAATCTTCTTAAAACATTAGATTATTAAAACATTAGGTGGTTATGAGAGATAAGTTCTCAGGATTTTATTAAATTTCTAGATGTTCTTCAAAACAAATAATTTTAATAATTTTAATGAATATTATGATTTTATTTACATGTACTTTAACAAAATTTTGAAACATTAAATTTATTTGATCAAGGTTGGGCAAGGATGGTGGTGTTCTCTCTGGACTGGTTACTCTTCAGCTTATTTTCGTTTTTGAGCTGGGCTGGAACATTGCATCCTCCTTGCTCTGCAGAAACAGTGAGCACACCTCTCAAAAATTGTTCAGAATCGAACCTGATGTTCTTGGGATATACACCCTTCGATTCAACCATCTATTTCTAACTTGCCACCTGATTTACTTGAGAGAGTCCAATGTCTGATCTTTCAACCAAGTTTAGTTTTAGAAAATAATCTACAAGCAATAGCCATTAGAGATTAATTTCAGCGGTTCTTGAATTTTGCCCACAGCCTCTACAGGGAAGTCGGCATTTACTGGATACGTTAATTAATTGATTTCCCGTAGATGGTCTATTCATAAATTTAAGCTCTTTCAAAAAGAAGAATCCAATGATCCGTTATCACACATTATTTAATAAAATTTGTAAGAGTACAAAAAATCCAGCAGTAATTGATCTCTATCCGAAATTGAGAGAACAATTAAAAAGACGAGCGACTTGTAGAAAAAACATAAATTTGGTAAACAAGAATACAATTAAATGAAACCCAGATGGGGGTTTCAAGAAAAAATTGGAGGGGAGGGGACCGGAGGCTCAGATTCGCAGTTTGTCAGACAAGAAGCGGAACGCAACCATGGCTGCAACAGTGCCTGTGAAAGAATGATGTTTCGTCTTCCTACTGGCTTATAAAACACTCATTTCATTTCACAGACCTATCAATATCGCCCTGCCAAAAATTGCATGTCCCTTTCTATCTGATTCTTCATTTCGAAGATCATCACTGCCTCGTAGATAGATAGATTCATAGAGAGATAGAGAGGTTGAGAGAGACAGAGAGAGAGAGATCGCATTTTTTTTTTTCCTTTCTTTTGTTTTGGAGTGTTACGAGAGCAGAATACACCGGCTTTTCAGGAGGCTCAGATTCGCTTTTTGTAGTCTGAAAATCAATTCAAACCTCAACCCGCAAAAGCTACCACAATGCTAAACACATAAAAAAGAAACACAAAAACCACGGCTGCAATGAGGAGAGTTTTCTCCGTGAAAATGGACAAAACAGTCAATTTCACAGAGAAACCCTAACTTGCCATGCCAAATGATTGAAGGGTTTCTTTAAAATTGACTGATTTATAACTGGTAAATACATCACAGCCTCGAAGCTTAAGCAGAAGAAGAAGAACAAGAAGAACAAGAACAAGAACAAGAAGGAAATATTAACATGAGGAACAAAAGGATTATAATACACACACACTGACACACACATACACATGTGAAAAGGGCGATGGTGAAATCATCGGCTTCGCAGTCTTTCAGAGGGAGAGGGAGGCGACAACCGTAGCGCAACCAGTCCACCTCTCTGAGAGCAAAACCTCATTCTATGATTGCTCTTTGACTGCCTGCAATTTTCTCTCTTCTCTTCTTTACGGTAGATGGTTGTTGTTTTTCATTTCCGTAACTACCCTCGTGTTGCGTATTGATGAGTGATTAGCTGAGTGAACGCGGTAGAGGCTGTTTTGGTCATTGGGATTTCGGGTGAAATAAGAAGATAAATATGAGGAGGGTAATTGGATGAATGGAATCGAGGAATTATTAGTTACATTTTTTTTACCGGTCACGATTCAAGACTAACCATGGTTAAATATGGTTAGCCCGGTTTTCCAGGTGCACTGCCCTCGTGATCATAAAAAGCGACCCCATTAACTTTCAATGGTCTGTTCGTATTTGCTGTGAAAATCTCAACACACATTAATTACTCAACTTCCACGAGGGCTTGCTTTCGCACCTTCCTTGTTTAAGAATAAATCAAGGTTAAAAAATACTCTATTCGAAACCAGTTTATCCTCTTTTAATATCAATACATTAAAATAATTTAAAAATATTAAAAATATATTAATTTAAAATTAAAAAAAAATTAAATTATAATTTTTTAAAAAATATTCTTAAAACGCATAAACTGTATTGTTACAGCGGTTATTCTCGTTTGGTAATACAACCTTGGTGGGTAACAAAGAGATCACTATACTAAATAATATGTTTTATCGCAAGAGAAAGAGCAACGGATGCCCCATTTCTTGTACAGCTCCTTCAATCCCATAAACCACCGAATAGAAAATAAATTACCTCCTCATTTCTCTTTAAAAAAATAAATTCTTTCTCGCGTGTATTTAGTATTATAATATAGAATATTTTTTGAGTAATTTTTTATTTTAAATTAAAATAAATATTTAATAGGGTAAACTCTAATTCAATGTTTAGAATAAATGGGAAAAAAAGAGAGGAATATATAATATTTGCGATTCAATTATCTCCCAAATGATATTTTTATTCCATTTAGCATTTTTCCATCCCACAGCAACATTACCATAAATCTTCTTACCTTTTTTGTCTGAAAGTTCTGCTCTCTTGTAGATTCACTTTTGTTTCTCGTTTTTTGAACGTTTACATCCACCTGGCTGACAAATGAGGAAACCAGTGCAGTTCATGTTTCCATAACGTAGTTATCAACATGGTTTGTCTTTCCACACAAGTGGTTTTTCACTGTTCCAAGGGCTGTAATCCGGAGATTCCAGACAATGATAGCTGTATGTTTTTAAAGCATGTTTTTTTAATAATTTTTAATTTTTTTAATATATATAATTACGTTAAAAATAATTTAAACATCATGTTACAACCGCATAAAACTCATATTTTAACAATTTAAATAATAAAGTATTTTTTTATAAATATATTAAAATAATAATATTATTATTAATTTTGAAAAGTTATTTTTTATATCAGTAAAATGATCTAAAAACAAAATAAAATTAATTTTTTAAAAAAATCTTTTAAAACAGAAAAATGTAATGTTTCTCGTTGTCTATCAAAGTCGAACACTTAGAAGGAGAAATTGTTTTACCAAACCAAAATTTATCATGTTCATAGACTGGCTCCACTTTGCTGAAGGTCATCGTGATATGCTTGCACCAAGTCTCCTAACATCAAGAGCTTGAGAAATCTGGCTAGTTTCTTAGACCCAGAATCAACCGAACTTTTGAAAAGGTGTTTTTCCAGATGAAACATTTGAACAAAAATTAAACCGACACCCAAAGATGGTTTAGAGAGAAAAAGGGGAGGGGAAGGGCTTGGAGGCTCAGATTCGCCTTTCTTTCTCGGACATAAAATGAAACGCAGCTGCAATCATGGCTGCAACAATGATCCGTCCATGAAAAACAGAGGATGTCTTCAACACTCTCGTTTCGTCGTTTCAGGGACTCCTCAAAGTCACCCTGCCAAAAATTGCATGCTTCTTTCCATCTTATTTTTCATTTTCGAAACATCTATTAATTTAAAATTAAAAAAAAATTAAATTATAATTTTTTAAAAAATATTCTTAAAACGCATAAACTGTATTGTTACAGCGGGTATTTCGCCTTTAGAGAGAGAGAGAGAGAGAGAGCGAGACAGAGGTTCATCATCGCCTTTAGAGAGAGAGAGAGAGCGCGAGAGAGGAAGAGGTAATAAATTATCGCAAGAGAAAGAGCAACGGATGCCCCATTTCTTGTACAGCTCCTTCAATCCCATAAACCACCGAATAGAAAATAAATTACCTCCTCATTTCTCTTTAAAAAAAATAAATTCTTTCTCGCGTGTATTTAGTATTATAATACAGAATATTTTTTGAGTAATTTTTTATTTTAAATTAGAATAAATATTTAATAGGGAAAAAAAGAGAGGAATATATAATATTTGCGATTCAATTATCTCCCAAATGATATTTTTATTCCATTTAGCATTTTTCCATCCCACAGCAACATTACCATAAATCTTCTTACCTTTTTTGTCTGAAAGTTCTGCTCTCTTGTAGATTCACTTTTGTTTCTCGTTTTTTGAAGTTTTAAAAAACCTAGACATTATAGAAAAATTTAAATATGCCAGTCTTCAGACTCTTGACATCTAGCTTCTTCTTTTTTTCGCCACAATTTAATTTACATAATAAATTTTGATATAATTCTAATTGTATAGAAAAGTAAAATTTAATTTTATAATCTACATAATAAATATTTATATATATTCATGAATATATGATAAGTTTTTTATTTCATCAAAATGATAAAGAACTATTTATTTGAAATTAAATTTTGATTATACCTATAAATTATAAAATTTAACTTTAATCTTGTTTTAATTAATTTAAATATTATTTATTTATTTTTTAATTTATTTAATTTGTCATGTTGACTCCACAGAAAAATTACTATTTCTCAACTGTTAGATGAAAAACAAAAAATATTTCAAAGCAAATAAGGTTTTTTTATATTTTTTATTATTTAATATTGAATTAATTAAAAATTAAAAATTTTATTTTTTTTGAACTTATTTTTTATAAAATTGTTATGATTAAATTAAATTGATTTTTTAATTTTATTTTATTTTAATTAATCAAAAATTAGATTTTATATTTAATTTTTATTTTATAAAAAACTATCAAGATCTTATTTTTTTGTTTTTATATCAAATTATTATTAACTTGTAACTTAAATATAAATTTAATAAAATTTTATGACTTAAATACAGATTTAATAAAAAACCACCTAGATTTCAATAGTTTTAAAAAACCTAGACATTATAGAAAACTTTAAATATATCTGTCTTGAAACTCTTGACATCTAGCTTCTTCTTTTTTCTGCCGCAATTTAAGTTATATCATAATAAATTTTGATGTAATTCTACTTATATTGAAAAGTAAATATTTTTATATTTTTATTAATATATGGTAAGCATTATATTTCATTAAAATGATAAATCATAATCATAAAGAACTATTTATTTAAAATTAGATTTTAATTATACCAATAAATTATAGAATTTAACTTTAATCTTGTTTCAATTAATTTAAATATTATTTTTTAGTTTATTTAATTTATCGTATTAACTATAAAATTATTATTTCTTAACTATTAAATAAAAAATAAATCAAAGCAAAGAAGGTTTTTTGTAATTTTTTTATAAAATTATTATGATTTTTAAACTGAAATTAACCATTTAATAAGTTAAATCAATTTTATTTTTTTTTAATTTTATTATTCAACTATTCTAAATTTTGATTGAATTAATTAAAAATTAAATTTTATTTTTATTTTATAGAAAATTATCTTAATCTTATTTTTTTGTTTTTATATAAAATTATTATTAACTTGTAACTTAAATATAAATTTAATAAAATTTTATGACTTGAATACAGATTTAATAAAAAAACCTCTTTGATTTCAATATGTAATTTTAAAAAAATATTATCTTCAATTTTTTTAATTAAATCATGCCTCGCAAAGGTTTTTTTTTTCTAATAGAAAAATGTTATAAACTCTTGAATATTTTTCATGTTTAAAAATTTTGTAATGCGACCACAAACTAGTAAATAAGCAATTCCAAATTTACAATGCTTTGAATTCACAGGGCTTCCCATGTCTCTCATCATTTGCCTCCCACATACCGTCCTCCGTCTTCCACTCTCTAGAGCGCAGCAATGGAAGGGCACGACACAATCGCTTCATTTCAATAAACAAATCTCTCCTTACAAGTCTTCAAGTGCAAATTTATGCACGACCCATTATCAGTCGAATGATCGGAATTTTCCCCCAAACTTCCTCCTCATATTTATCAAACAGAAGCATAGGCGCTAATTCAGAAGACAAATTTAGATCTACAAGGTAGAACACACACACACACACCCATTGATAATTAGAAAAAAAGTTATCCAGATCTAGCAGGTTTAAAAAAATATTATCTTCAATTTTTTTAATTAAATCATGCCTCGCAAAGGTTTTTTTTTTCTAATAGAAAAATGTTATAAACTCTTGAATATTTTTCATGTTTAAAAATTTTG